GGGTGAAGGAGAGAATCACTGATTAATGTTTTGGTAACAGGACAATTGTTGTTTCTGTTGGCAGCTGCTGTGCTTGGTTCTTTTAAGCCAAACTACAGTTAGGAAGGGCTAGCACGAGTGAAATTCTCCTTTTCCCTGTAGAAACCACTTATGCCAGGGCTGCGGGAGTCTCTGGCTCAGTTCTGTTACGCTGTCGGGGTTGGGACTGGCTTGAGTTTGTCTCTAGAGCCAGAACTGAGAAAAGCCATAATGTTGTTTTCTGGCTCATCTCTTGAGACGCGGGAGGTTTTGGGAGGTTTTTTGAAACGCTGTCTGATGGCCTATGCAAGGTGTGACCCTAATGAAATGAAGTAGCTGGTGACATTTGGTTACAGTGGGTTGTACCACTCTGGGGGGGGAAAGCTGACCTCAGAGAAGTCACTGCTAATTCTGTTTGTCTCTTGTGCTGTGTGTACAGTTGCTTTTCTGAGTGCTTAGTTCGTGCTAAACGTGAACTTCTGTCTCTGCTTCTTCCATACGGTGCCTTTGAGCATCTTCTCCTCCCAGTCTGGAGCAGGATTTTGTCTTCTGCCCAGCACGGCTGTGGTGTGTCCATGTGTATGTTTTGGGAGGATGGGAACACATGGATGCTGATCCCATTTTCCTTTCATTTGGTGCTAAGGCCCAGAATCAGCAAAGCTGAGGTACCAGGGCTGAGCCGAGCACTGCAGCCGGCTGCTCCGCACCCTTCCCAGGTCCTGAGCTGGAGGAGAGGCTTGAAGGGCAGAAGGAGCAACATCTCCGAGTGTAGCTGTGTCCCCTGGCTTTCTCAGAGCCACATGTGTGCCTGAGGACACTTCAGTTGTCTTCACTGAATCCAGTTTAAAAGTTACTTGGCAAATGTTTCATATGCAGATTTTATTCAGGATCTGGGTAGTGGCTCCATCAGTCGACCACTGCATAAATTTGATCTCTGTTTTCTTTTGTGTCCAGTATGGACTTCTTATGTTAAGAAGTCATCTTTTTGACAAAAAAAAAATACATTTTGGAAAGAGATGTTCTGTTCCTGCATCCTTGCTAGCATCACAATTACTAGGTTTTAGCAGCTGTAACGGGAAGGAGACTTGGCCCCAGCAGTGAAGCATCTAAAGCTTCAACTGCCTTTGTTTTAAAGCTTTAGCAATAAATACGAGAGTGAAAAGGAGCCAGTTCAGATTATCAAACCTTTGTGCAGTCTTCAGCGTAGCTTGATGTACTTGTGATAACAGTCACTTACAGTAACGGTTTGAGAGAATTTCCCCACAGGTCAAGGTGGGCAGCGGTGAAAAAACTAAAAGCAAAGGTTTTTCATATGAGCCTCTGTATTGCTTGACTGATGATACAAAAGCCCTCTTCTGATGTACGTTACTTTTCATTCTTATATTTTTTTTTTTCCTCAACTAGATCTTCCTGAGCTATGGACACCATAAATGGTGCTCGATTTGGATAGTAATAGGGCAAACTGTCACTGTGATCTCATTCTGCACCTGCCCATCAAAATCAAATGCAATTAGATCACTGAATATTTTGTTTCTTTAATGCTTTGCAAAAACTAAGGAAACTTGTATCTGCCCCTGTGTACTATGCAGATATTTTTCTGAGGAAAAGTGCAGTTGAGGTGGCAGTCTTAAAAGGAAACAAAACCAACTTCTGCTTTGTCCCTCCGGTGAGGGTACTGTGACACATGTCCCTTCTCTGAATCCCCTGACGGCTTCCAGGAGACTGATGCAAGTATCTGTGCCAGGCTTTGATTAGGAGACGTTGCACTGCCACTTACTCTCTTTGTTTCCTGCAGTTTACAGAGGCAGCTTCGGTGCATAATTTAATCCCTGTTCTGGGGACTGCAGCAAATCCACAGAGATTTCTCCCAGCCGTCCTCTCTGGCATCAGAACAACATGTGCACATCTGCTTTGATGTGAATTCCCCAACCAAAGCCTTAGAAGGACCTATAGCTTTGAAGCTGGCCTATAAATTGTGCTTTCAGGAATCAAGTTGTCAGCCTCCTCTTCAGGAAGAAAGGGAAAGTAAACTGTAAAGCATTGCATAAAGTTACAGGGCAACTTCTAGATCTGGTTCCCTTGGCCTCAAAGAATTCCTGTATGATGTTAAGAAACAGATCCTTTTTTACCTGCTGCAGAAGCATCTTCTGTGACTGCAGGACTGTGGGCAGTGGGCTTGTGACGGTCCTCGACTCGAGGGGTTCTCTGTTCCAGGGCAGTGGCAGGGGAACAGGCACACCGGCGCTTTCCACCTGCTCAGTTGTCTTCAGTCTCCCCAAACCCACTGCCGGCAATGCACCTGCACCGAACTCTGTGTGGGGAAACCTTCAGTGGGGTTTAGAAACAGATGCAAACTTTTACCAGATGGGGGGTGGTTGTTCTGTAGCAGATCTAACTTTGCTCAGTCCTTCCCTAAGTCATGGAGGAGTGGGACAGACTTCTGCCTTTCTGTTGAGATGGAAATAAACTGGTCTTTGAGTTGAGGGATTTCAATGGCCAGATCTGGTTTGGAAAGACAAAAGCCGTTGCCCTCTTCATGATTCAGTGTCTGTTTCTGGGAGCTCTTTCCATACCGATCTGAAAAAGCGAAGAGCTGACTAGAGTCAGCCAAAACACCAACCTTGATTTTCATGTGTTCTCTGTCTCCAGTAGGAGAGCTGAAACCATTCTGCTACACTCCATGCCACTGCTGCTGATGCTATTACAGCAAATGTGGCTAAAGCTGGCTCCTGAATTAAAACATTTACTGCACAGTCTGCACTGAGCTACATCAGCCTTTCTCAGTACGTATGGAGAAGCTTCTTAGGCTGCTTCATAGGTGAGCCTTCAAGTTCTTAATAATGTTTACCGATGTTACACAGAAGCAGATGTGACTGTGTAGAGCTCTTCCTGTTTTGAGCAATGACTCCTAGGTCAGCATCAGAAATGGGTTGCACCAAACCTCATCAGATGCTCACAATATTATGCATCATACTTTTGGGGAATAGAAGCTGTGTGCATTTTTTTTTTTTTCTTTTTTTTTTTTTTCTGCTAAGAGCTGCTACCAGAATAGTTTAATTTCAGTTTATTTTTTATGCTTGTGTGATCTGTTTATTTGTATTTGGAACCCATTGCCAAATCTGTTTTACAAGGTAGGCGGCTGTCATCGACTGGGCAGAGCCGAGTGGCAGAGGCCCCTGACGGTGCTCATTGGGGCAGTGTTTCTGTCAGCAGAGGCCCACACAGACCTGCCAGCTGGATTTGCTTTCCTGGGTCTTTCTGGGCTGGCTGTGCTGCAGGGCCCTCTGCCTGGCAGGGTGGCTCTGCAGCGATGGATTCCATCCCCTTCTGAACGCGAGTCTCCGTTTCGATGTGTGCTGACGACCAAGTCCAGAGATCAACGTGGATGCTGAGCAGCTGTGGAAGAAAAGGTGGCGAGAGCAGCACTAGCATCAGCGCTGGGACAGAGAAGGCGGAGAAGTCAGTGTAATGCAGCATCTTGCAGCGTACACCTTAATTTTGTAATGGCACTCGAGGCAATAAACAGCCAGGAGCCACATCTAAAAGAATTTAACAGTGGGATGCTGGTTTAAGGGTAGCTAGAGTGTCTAAATAGGAAAAAACTGGTACCGGTCCATTAGGAAAGGTAATCAGTTAATCTTTTGGAAATGGCCTCTGTTTCTTCCTAGAGATAAAGCAGCTTTCTGAGCCTTTCTTTCTTCACCATGTGCATGCAACTTTATTTTTTGCCTATGTATTAGAAGCTTGCAGTATTAGGAAAACAAAAAAATCCAAATTAAGTACAAATCACTGACCATTAGTGGCTGCTGTAACATTCTTAAAACTGAATGCCCGTAAAATTATGTATTAAATGCAAGTATAGTAAAACAGATTAATGAAAATCTACAGTGTTTATTTACAATATTACTTTTATTTTTTCCGTAACATAACTTATTCCAAGTCCTCCCCCAATTAACTGATGCTGCAATGTTTACGTTCAATGAACCTATACAATGATAGTACACCCTGCTGCTTTCATGTAAGCCAACTGGCTTGCAAACAACGTCATAAATCATATACAGAAACGGAAGATTCTCCACAAGCATCTGGAGTGTTTCTTGCAACACTGTTGTGGCAGAAGGAGGCTGTACTAGAGATACGGATAAGATGTGCTGCTCTCCCAGCAAGGAGAGGCAGTTGATCTGTCTCATGTACTAAGAAGAAACAAAGTCTAAGAAGTTCTGATGTTTTATTAATTATTTGAATACAATGAACTACGTATTTGCAGAGGAATGTATGGGCTTAATTCTTGCTGGAAGGAGTTACTAGAACTCCCGACTCTGTTCAGTGTTACTATCAGCTTTGAGAGGTACAACCTTTTTGCGGTAATTGACTTAGACCTCCAAGTGACGCATGTATAGGAAGAAAAGAAGGGCTTGCATTCTTAACTCTATATTCTATATTTAAAAAAGCTAAATGATTTGTATATCCTTTTCATTATCAAAGTATATTTTCTCTTTCAAAGTAAACTGGTTTCTTCGGGAGGAGTTATTTTAAATAACAGCTCAGTGCTATAGCCAGGAGCTAGTAATTCAAAAATCACTCTTTTTCACTGAAAGGTATAAAGAACTGCACGTTATAAAGCCAAAGAAGCAAATAGAGCCTTCTGTTGTATTGTATTATGCAATTCTAAAACATCTCCTGTGCAACTGCTGAAGGACTTCAGATGGATACAGTGATGAATACTGTCACAAAGGGAGTGATTTCTCCTCTTAGCCCTGTCAACACTAGCATCTAGACAAAATCATCATTGAAAGCTCTAGTACATCACAGAATAGTGCTGATATTGGTATTTTACAACTAATGCAACATCCAGTAATTCACATGTAATCTTAATAGTTAAAAATCCAAGACTGGGGTACTAACTAAAGGAAACTTCAGGTTAGTAGTTTCTTATCTGGGATGGAGTAAGGGGAGGGATAGTTTAGATAACATTGTAGAGATTGGGCAGGAACAAAAAGAATTTATTTCTCCATCCAGTATTTTATACACTTTACAAAAACCAGTAATATCACTGTGCCCATAAAAATTTTATCCATGGCAACAGAAAGCAAATACTACTTTTTGTCATCTAATGGGGTCTTTTTAAAATCATAATACAAAGATTTGTGCTGTAGCAGTCCTCCACGTTGCACTGTAACAATAAGGCTTACTGTACTTTAAATACAAAGCTGTTACATCTGCAGTTATGAACCACTGGCTTTAACAAACATCATTTTATAGTTGCTTTTTGCTTCTTTTTTGTTTTCTGGAACCTCAGCTTCATCATGTTTTTCAGCAGCTTGTAGCTCCTCTGCAGACTCCTCTTGCTCAGACTCAGAGCCACTTTCGGAGTCCTCCGAACTCTCTTCAGAAGAGTGTCCAGCTGCATCGTCCTGTTCTTCACTTTCCTGAAACTAGAAGTTCATATTAAGAGAGAGATAAACCAGTATTTCCTGGCAACTCCCAGTGAGAATGTTTCACTTAATGGCTCCTTTTGTTTTAGTACTAAAATGGGCTATGTTGTTAAACATATTTTAATATACAAATACGGCTAGACCTTCAAGAATTCACATTCATGACTAATCTTTGAAAATGAGCCTAGCACACCACAGTGTGAGGAGTGCTGAAATAATCCAATGATACTGCTAACAGGAACAATCCCCAAATGCCATTTTGTTCGTGCCATTCCCAGCAAGCACTCCAGAGGTGCTCTGGAAACATCAGCTATGTTTTTATACAGTAATTGGTGCTAAAAGTTAGCAAAAAAATAATTATTGCACCTTTCAATTGGCAGATGAAGACATGTTCCTAATAACCTAATTCTCCTGTTTTTTGTCACACTTCTCTTCCTGCTCATTCCTACGGAATTTCTTGCAAGTACACAACCAGTCAGGTGTCAGCCCACTGGTGGACTCCGTAGCCCTCTACAGCCACTTACTTTTCAGGACCATAGAGAGGTAAGTGCCTCACTGCAACAAGAAGCTCAGATTCATTAGCTCAGTCATTTCCAGGCATCTGCATGGCCAGTGTACATGGACAGGGGGCAAGTGCCTGCAGTAACTTTGTCGTTTAACCCAAACTGCAGAAGTTTGCCACTAGTTGCGGTGACTGGATTTTTAAACCATGTATCGCCTTCTCTTAGTGAAGCAAAAGCCAAATCGTTACGGAAACAACTTACTACCTCACTGAAACCCAGTCCGCAGTGGCGCCGGTTCCGCCCAGACATCGTGCTGTCCATGCTTTGTTGGTACTGAGACTCCAATTCTTCATTCATTTTCTTGTCTTCTTCCCCTGCATTGTCCAATGTAATTTGGTTATGGTTCATTCAAATTAACAAAGACATCAAATTACACGAAGTTGCATTTTCAAAGATTATTGATATATACCTGAAAAAGTTTAAATGTAGCTATCTTAAACTACTGGACTGAATAATACTGAATACAAACCACCAGATTTAAAAGCAATTGTATCTAGTGTGCAAGCAAAATTGCTTTGATACAAAGATGGGTTGGTACGTTCCTAAGACCTGACACATTCATACAGTTGTACTATGCGTGGTGTCCAGTATGACTTCTCTGTGCTTCCTGCCAATACTGCAACATGTCACAGCAAGGAGAAAGTTTCTGGCCTTCGCTACATAACATATGATTGCTATGATTAAACCACAATTAATATATAGAAGCAGAAGTCAGGACAATACTACCACTCTTGTTTATAGAGCTGTGTCTGAAACTATTTCATGCATCCTGAATTACATTACAGCTCTACATTTTTCCACCTTTAGGAATTAGCAGAAAAACTAATTTTTATGACCTACTTCTACATGCCCTTTACTTACTTGTTTGAATAAGTAAATAAAAAATCATTTTTACTGAGGGAAAATATAGTCTTAAATAGTTAAGAATCCTCTGTTCTTGTGAAACATAGGAATGTCTAATTCTCCCCCAACAGGCATACAACACATTAGTTTTTAATTTGTATCTCTGTAAATGTATTGCAAGTTAATGTTTCCTCATTTGGAAGTTAGAGCTGTATGTTATTATAAAATGACAGTAACTGTATGTTGGACAGGGAAGTAAAGCGTTAAGAAAACAGCTGTTCTGATTTTTTGTGAAAAAACAGCATTTTAACTTTTTGCTCATAACAAAGCAGTACTGAGTCTTTATGACTCCTTAGAGGAAGCATCACCTCCTTCCTAGGAAATTCAGATATAAGGAAGTGATTCTGAGTCACTCTGCAAGCTAACAGCAGAACCTGCAACCAATGCTCAGGCTTCTTTTGGTGTTTTGGTCCATAGATAATTTTTCACCAACTGAAACATTATTAGTGGAGCACATTAGAGAAAAGTTTTCTGGAGTTCTGACAGTTGCTATTCTATATATGGCTTTATCAAAGCTTCTCTCAGACAGTTAATCCCTGCTTGGCTTCACTGTACTTTGACTTACTACCCAAGCAAGCCTGATAAGAAGTTACCATGGTCATAAGTTACATGACATCAAATTATTCCTGATTGCTGAGATGACCTTGCAGATCTTCTCAGCTTCTACCTCACTGCTTTAAGGCAGAGATCTTTCTATTCCATAGGAAATCAGGCAGCAGGAGAAATCAACCCTGTTCTTTTCCATGTAGAAGAATTTAGAGGTTTGGATATCCACATCTGGCAGCAAGGAAGAAATGTAATACTCTAGGTGCCAAGAGCAATAAAACTTCACTTTCTTATTTTGATAGGAAAGTAAGTCTGAGGACCTACAGGCCCTGATTTCGAGCATTTGTACACAAGTTGAACTGACCATCAAGTCCTTTGCTGAACCAGGACTTTAGAAGGCAAGTAAAGTAAACAGACAAACTGTTTATCAGTAATCTAACAAGAAATTAGGAAATTCTAAAACTCCACAGCCTGACGTGTCTTCCACTTCAGCCACAACACCTGAAATCCCTTCCTGCAATGTCTATGGAGCTCAAAGTACTGGGATGTTCCTCAATAAGTGTTCGATTTCCAACTTTGTATCAGCTGTTGGATAAACTGACCTGTCCTGAAGTGAGAGGTTGATCTGTGGTCTCCGATAACAAGGCGGCCAGTATGTTCTTTCTAAAAGAAAAGGCAGTTTGTTTTGGAGCTTTAGGTGCACTGACAGCTCTGCCAACATTCTGGAAATCTCGAATGGAAAAGGTTTGCTGTCAAACCTTGACAACCAACTGTAAGACTGCAAGTGTTACTAGCTAACAACTGCTGCCTCTTGATGAACCTGTTTCATCTTTGTTTTCTTGAATTTTCTGGAAAAGAAACCCCAACAACTACTCTTTGCTCTTCCCACACCCCAAAGCTGGTTCTATTTCATTCTGTTTCTTGCCACTCCAAAGATGAAGACAAACCATGCTAGTACGTCAGCTAAACAGGGAGGAATGGTGACCATCCCATACAAAAACTACACTATGAAATGCTGGCCAAGTGTGAATTTAGGTTCTGACAATTTACCCTTTGGGTCTCTTTGGGCACTACGCAACAGTTCAGTCTGCACATCTTACGATGACCCCACTTTTAGACTCATCACAGTATTGGGTAAGACCTTCACAGTGCTCATTAATATATTGGGTCAGTAGTTGCTCATTAGCACATGTATCCCTATGGGCAAGAACAGGCATTACACAGCAAGCAGCACTGAGCATCCAAGTGGAAGTTAAGATTAGTGGTAGTAGGATGGTTTAATTAGGTATTGTATTACTATCTGCTCGGAAGTATTAACTTTAACCTCTTTAATACAGTAAAATATTTTAGCTTACAAAAATATTGTATTCAAACAAAATAAGCTAGCACAAGTGAAATTATTTTCCTTGAAGGTAAGTTAAGTAAGATTGCAATAATAAAACATTTTGTACGTGCAAAAAGCACAATTATATTTCACTGGTTTTGCAGCATTTTTTGCAAAAGGCATAGTAGAAATACTGGTCTTGAGCATTTTTTCTTTAAAAATATTACCTGGGTTATTTAATAATGTTTACTATTTTGGTGTTTTAGTCTATCAGCTACCATTTTATTTAAATCTTTCATTTTTTTTTCCAAGGCGAGAGACTTTTACAGACCTGGTGCACAGGTTTGTTAGTCTGTAATAAGGACTCTCTCTGAAGCGTCCACAAATAATTAAATAATTTTATTCTCTGGTCTGAAAGTATAGAGGGGTGGGGTAGGGAGGGACTCGACAATTTCAGACTAAAGTTTAACGTTTGATGTTTTGCGATACCCCGTTGCTGCCGTAACAGCTGTAGCTGTGAAGCCCAAATCCTCCTTAAAGGAGAGTCCCAAAGCGGAACAGCCTTTGGGGGGCCTGCAGCCAGCCTCCG